TTTTTCAAAGTTTAGATCAGTTTCATAAAAATACATATAAATGAATCTATAATATTATATTTTGACTAAAAACTTTTAAGATACCAAGTCATTTGATTTATATACACTTTTTTTTGGGGTTAGTACTCTAATTTATAACTTGTTCCCACATGGATTCATCACACTTAAACTTGCCAACGCAAATTATTAAGATAAGAGGGCACTTAGTAAATGAACTTTAAGCAGGAAAGGAGGCTGAAGAAGGTTGTTTGGTCAATGTCTTTGGATTGGAGGAAGCTATGGAACTGAAAATCACAGGCACAAACCGATACACAGATTTCAACCAACTTAAAAAATGCATCGCCGACAGGGTAAGCAAATAAATAATTTGGACTTGCGTTACATTCATTCATTCTGGCTTTTCATAAGAGAGACGAAGGTCATTAACTTTTGGTTTTATTTTTAAAATTATATATTTATATGGCCTTTATTTAACCCTACAACTAGCAAGGAAATATAAGTTCAATCTTGTAAGCAGCTTCAGATTTTCAAATAAATAAATTAATGCATCTGGACTCTCCATTATGTAGCTTGTTACGGAAGAAAGACAAACAATGTCATAAATTACGTGAAGGCAAATGTTTGGATAAAGAACTCCTGTAGATGATTTAATAATACAAAGAATACATAATGAAAGCCCGTTTGAAGTGATTTATAAATAGTTTTTCAATCGTAATTTATAGAATAGAATACAAGATAAAAATGTGAGAGGAGTTTTATCTCAGATTACATTTATTATGCCTATGAGTGATTTTAAATGCTAATCGCAACAAGGCCGAAACCAAATAATGGCTTCCCCCTTCGAAAACGCTATTTTACAATGAAGATTTCATCTTTAATCTTAATATACAAAGGAAAAGTCAAACTCCCATTATTCTTAGCTCTGCTGACTGAAAATTCTCATTGTGTCTCAGGCAGAAAGGTTCCAGCACAGAGAACAACCAGAACTGATTGTGGCCTCCACACTAGTAAACCGATAACTTAAACTCTTTTAAGTCTCTTGCATGTAGGTAAGAGGTCAGCTTTACTTTTTGAACATGACAAAATTTCATTACTGTCAAAAGTTTCTTCTGCAGGGCACACAGCATAATCTTCCAGATCATTTCTCTGGCAGCTTGTAAGATCAGTAACATGTTGATAGACAGGAGAATCAACAACACGGTCCATGTCTTCATCTTTATGACTGTCCATGTTCAAAAGGTCATTTCTGTTCTGCTCTGCCCGCCTTCGAAGCATGAACACCTTAAAGTAGTAACTCAACAACACCTTTTTTGTTCGAGAAGGAAAAACAATTGAAATATTGTTCCAAAACGATGATGGATTGTTGAAGACAAACTCATCATGAAAAATCTGTTCATCTTCTGCACTCCATTTTTCTGCTACTTGCTCTCCCATGTAAGAGAAACCTAATTCAGTCAAGCTCTCTAGCCCAATGCTTTTGATGAGTTCTTCTCTTGCTTCCACAATATGGAATCTGACACATCTCACAGCTCCACCATCTTCACAGCTACAGTCAGTCCGGCCCTTCCCAACATTGTCATTATCATCAGTAATAGCTTGTCTTCGTCCACCTTCATCTATCAATCACATCACAATGTGAAAAAATCATAAAGCAATTTGTGGCAGTGGAAAAAACTATGGAAGTTAGTATCGGATGATCCTTGAGATCCACCCATTTCAGGGCAATCTGACTCTCAGAAGACAACACCATTAAAATGGGAAGTATTATATTCAGAACAAAACAAAATGTTATGTTCATAAAAGGTTTGTCTAACAAATGGTCAAACAGCAAACATAAACGTGACAAGTCAAAGGGCAAGTTAATAACATTTTCAAAGAAAATAAGGACATTTTCAAGAAATCTAATCGTCATAGTTTGAGCTGATTGACCACCAAAACAAAGTTAATGAAACAGAACTGGTTTCATAACTTAATGGATTACAGGCAAAAAAACTCCCACGTAAGCACAATTTTAAATTGGCAAATTGCACCAGAAATTGTAGTTAAATAGCAAACATCCTCAGGGAAAACAGATTTTGCAAATGAGAGAAGCTGATTGCTGGGTTCCTCTTGTTTTTGGTGTTTAAAAGACGCCTCAAATATTTTCGCTGCGTCGAACGGACGCTTATGCACCATGTTTAACTGCAGGCTGCAGCAAAGATTCCACAAGAGAAGCTGTCATTCTTCAGCACCAACTTGTCCCAATAAAATGCTATTAGAACTCATGACTCTACATAAATAAAGAATCTTCATCAAATAACAAATCCAAAATACTATCCCCGGTCTTTAATATAAGACTTTGTTTGACTTTTATTTTGATCCTAAATATAAGATCTCAATCTACTTCGTCTCTTATATTTATGAATTTTTTTTTTTAAGATGGTTCTCCTAACAATAGTGGTTCTAGCCAATACACTTGATTACTAAAGATATTTAGGAAAGACAACACTTATTTGTTATAAATAACTAATTTAACTTCTTTTATTAATCTTCTTAAATTAGTGAACTAACTCTTATAATTAAAACCGAAAGTAGTATGGTAAAAAGAAAACATACAAACTCAGACACCCATGTTAGTGTATTAAATGGGTATAAGTTATTACGTAGACTTTTTTTCTTGATCTGATTTCTGAATGAAAATAACTGGAACCGACTCTTTCACTTCTTCTTTTTTCTTTTTTCTTTTTTTTTTTAAGGAAAAAAAAAGCCCAATGACTTATTGATAGCTTTGCTTTGTCCTTTTTTGGGCGCCCGGATGACTTTGCTTTGCTGTGTAAGTGAAACAAAATATTAGAAACATAGCCCGAATCAAAACCTTAATCATTTTTACCAAAAAACAAATTATAATTTTTTGTTTTGGATTTTCTTTTCTTTTTCATTGGTGAAGAGAGAGCGTTTCGAAAACTCTTAAATAACTCCATCTACAAATACTTTTACCCACTTCGTAAAAGACTTTTCCTTTTATTGGTAGGATGTTTAAATTCTCAGACAAAAATCCCAAACCAAAGTTAGGCGATGGAACCTTACTACTAACACGATACAAGGGAAGGAATGGATGGATTTGTTTGCTACCATCTGCTGGTGGCTTTGGCGACAACGGAACCTCTTTCTCTTTGAAGAAAAGACCATTAGCAATGAAGCCGTTATTGCTAGCTCCATGGGCATTCTAAGCAACCTCCGCAAGGTACAGTGCAAGCTATCTGGTGTTTTAATCCCAGGTAGCTGCCTCCACAAGGAGACACAGGCTTGGCAACCTCCGGCACACGGGTGGATTAAGATGAACGTTGACGGAGCCTTCTCTCATCGCACCTCAGCTTGTGCAAGTGGCGGTGTTCTTCGCAATGACGATGGACGATTCATTCGGGGTTTCATTCATTGTCTCGAAGGCCGCGACGCCCTCCATGCAGAACTGTGGGCGTGCCTTCTCGGACTCAAGCTTGCATGGGATGGAGGATACCGTAAACTAGTTTTGGAATCTGACTCCAGTAACGCTTTAAACCTGATATCAGCCCATGCGGATGAACACCATGCTGACCATGGAGTCATTAAAGAGATTCGAGAAATGTTCGCATGGGATTGGACTGTGAAACTCCAGCACGTGAGTCGATCGCACAACAGAGCTGCGGATTTTTTAGCCAAGCAGCGTCTCTTGGCACTTAGTGGTTTTCATCTAGTTGTTTCTGTTTCTGCCGAACTTTTGTCTATTTTGGACTCTGATCGCACTACTATTCGTGATCGGGTCAGTATGAGTTGAGATGTCCCATTGTTATTAAAAAAAAAAAAAGAGAGGAGAGATTCTTTTTATATTTTTGAGATTCTTTAATCAAAACGATACTACGTTTGATCATTAATATAGGATTTTATTTGATTTTTATTTTAGTTCTAAATATAAGACCCTAATACAATTTATTTCTAATATTTATGTACTCCTTCGGTCCTTAATATAGAACCCAGATCTTGAGTTGGTTTTTATTTTAAATATAAGATCCATTTCTCATATTTATCAATTTTGTTTAAATTACTTCTATGGATACTCCCTCAACCATAATCAAATAGAAGAGGAAGAGGGAGTATTAAGAAAGATAATTACGGTGTTTTAGAAAAAATGTGTCATTTTTCTTATAATTAACTAACTTACCTAACTTCCTTAATCTAATCAAAGTAGTTAAATGGGTCTTATATTAAGGACTGGAGGAATATTTTTTTTTCAAGATAGTCATTCTAACAATGGTAATTCTAACCAATACATTTGATTAGCAAAGATAATTTAAAAAAGATAACACTTATTTATGACAAATAACTAATTTAACTTCTTTTCTTAATCTCCTCAAGTCAGTCAATTTTCTTAATCTCCTCAAATTAGTCAACTAGCTCTTACAATTAGGACCGAAAGTAGTATTAAGTTTATTTTTCTAGATGGATATGATTTTAATATTGTAAAGAAAATTAATGTTACCTCTGATCCTAAATATAAAAAATAGTGGACTAATTTGAATAGATTAAGAAAATAAATTAAATTAGATATTTATAATAAATAAGCATTATCTTTTTTAAAATATTATGACTAATCAAGTGTATTAGTTAAAACTATCATTATTAAAAAGACTATCTTAAAAAATTAAATAAATATGAGAGATAAAATAAATTAAAGTCTTATATTTAATACCAAAATAAAAGCCAAACGAGATCTAATATTGAGGATCAGAAGTAGTATTCTAATTTTTAATTTTGTCCCATTATCTTTTATATAATCTCCAATTATTTTATCGTGACTATTTGGTTGCAAAAAGAAATCTTAAACATACAGATGAGATTTCAAGATGGTACTAAACTATTAATTGGATTTGTTCAAGAGTCAACTTTTTGTTATTTTGCTTGATAAGGAGATAACCATACGATTATCATGCCTTCTACATATCATCAAAGCATATACCAGAATCAGCAGGCAAACAAGATATGGGAAAGGAAAATCCCAGAAATGAACACCTTCCAATTCATTTTATGGAACCAACAAATGCCTTGTCTTCTATATTAACATCAAAGCTCAAACTAATTTACAGCTTCCAGAATAGAATGCCATGAAAAGGACTTCATGACCTCATCAATGTTGACGAATGGCTCCAACCCACGCATACTTGCAGTTGAAGACAATGGAACTCCATTTTTTAAAATGTGAAATAAAAAGCATAGCAGACTAAATGCTTTGTGTTCTATCTCATACATCCAAAGCTGATCCAGAGATGAACCTGAAAAATCACCTTACCAAAAGTGGCTATAAATCCACACCTTCATCAAGACCTTTGGAACCAATCATCACATTTGAATCAATTTGCTTGTCAAACTTCTTCCTCCTCCTCGCCTCAAACTCTTGAAACCCGTCCATCTAGATGGTTCAATGGTAGTTGGATTGAAACTTGAGCAAAGTTGTTGGTTTGTAGGAGACGAAGGAGGCAAACAAATTCGGGAAATAAAGCCTTACCTGTTGAAACTGATCCATAGATATAGGATTGCCGTGCAGAGATATACTTTGAAGAGTTTTGCAGTCTTTCAATAGATTTGCAGGTATCTAGCCAATGAGACCCAACAGGCATAAGAACATTTGAAATCAAAGGACACGGTTCTTAGGTTTGTAACAACTGCATGAGGGGGAATTGCTACAAGCAAAACCATAGATTGACACGCTATATATAGATTCATAAAAGTAAAGAAAAGAGAAAGAAGAAGAAGAAGAAGCATAAGACACTGCAAGGGTTGCACTCCAACGAAGATTAGCTGCCTATAAGATAATAGGCAGATTACTAGGCAATTAACAAACGTCATACAAGGCTTCAAGTACTCTGAGTCAGAAGTATTACCTGTTTCACATTATTGTTATCTAGGCAAAGTGACTTCAAGTGAGTAAGATTGCACATGGAAGAAGGAAGATCTTCAATACTATTATCTAAAAATTTGGCAAGAAGATTGAAGCTTCAATCAACTATGATGCAAAACCAAACAGCTAATAAAACATAAATTGTTAAATTGATCCAGAGATCCATATTCGAATCTCATGAAAACAGTTAATGACATGAGAATCAATCCTATGGATATGCACATTGATTGAATATGTAGGGAAAAAGCAGAATATTGGACACAGAATTATGTTACATCTAAGACATCTTCATGAAATACGACAGGTTATAATAATCTTTGCAATCATTATCGTAATATGAACTGTAGGGGTAAAAGGTTCACAAGGAGGTAGGGAGAATCAGAACTGAGGACATCATCAATTTTAGGCCCAAAGAGCGGTTAAAATTTCTCAAATATGGACTTGATTAACTAATTTGTTGGGCTAATTGTTCCTAAACTGAAAATAGATCCCATGGTCAAGTATATGTAAATTGTACTTCATCCAAAAATGTTTGTCCTGTTTAAAGTTAGTTTGCTGCCCATCAACAACCTTTTAGCCTGTGGCATGTAACCTAGCTATCATTAAGAAAGATGATGGAAACAGGGGGATAACATGAGAAAAAAAAAACCATAAAAATAAAGAGTACATCAATAGAATATATCTCTCCATTGTCTGCATATCTGTAAAGGAAACAACCATCTCCAGAACACCAGCACAAACAAACTGCATTAAATGCTGATGCAACGCATGAAGAAAGCAAGTAGATCAGAAACATACTATTGGCTTGTAATTCTTCTAAAGAGAAGCAACTTCCCACAGATTCTGGAAGAGACTCTAAGTTGTTGTTCGCCACATTTAAAAGTGAAAGCTGCATTATCAAACAGTGCAGCATATTTTAGATGTTAATCATAGTCTGGTTATGTATTGAATTTATACCAACAATTACCAAAGTGAACAACCTTTTAAGTCGATCACAACGGAGAACAATATCCCCAACTCCTCAAATTCTACAATTAAGTGAATGCTTCAAATTTAAAATAACAAAAGCAGTAGAACAATCAGAGTATTCAGACTCACAAATACTTACATTTCGCAAGCTGCCAATAGTAGCCGGCAAGGCTGTTAACGAATTCCCAGATATGGATAAGCGCTCAAGCCTCACCAATTGACCCACTAAGGAAGGGGGAAAAACCAAACAAATTACAGATTGACAATAAAGAGACATTCCATTAAGAAAATGCCAATGTCATGAAGAAAACAAGATAATCATTTTATTCTTAAAAAACCAATTTATTTCACAGAGGGAATTACATTCATCAGGCAAGGAAGTAATTCGATTTCCATCAAGGATCAAGGCTTTTAGAGACTGGAGCTTCCCCAAATTCACTGGCAGTCTCTCAATGAGATTTTCTGGCAACACCTGTAAAGTCAGCGCAATTTTGATAAGTAATGCTCTTTATCAAACCTAGTGTTATATAACCTCAGTTCTGTAAAGAGTCCACAAACCAGTTTAATAAAACGCTTCCATGGCATATTATCTAGCCAGGGGAAATAAATAGAAGGCAATCTTGTATTTGCAGGCATAACATGTGCAAAAATCATATGACTTTCAAAAAAGAATATTAAATTCAAAAGTTAATGCTTCAAACAAATTCAAGAATCAACGATCCAAAGTACTAAGTCTCATAGCTAAACTTCTTAAGAAAACACAAGAAGTAACAACGCTGATTCGCTGAAATACTGATTCAGGAAAAGGAAAGAATTTCCTCTAGTGCTTCTTAATTATCAAAAAAGTAGATAAAGTCCAAAAGCTTTCTTTCTTTCTTTCTTTTTTTTTTTTCAATTTTCAATATCAAAAAGTGTAGCAAGTACTATATGTTCACAAACAGTTACCAGGTTATAAGCATATAGTGGGAAATATAACTCTTACCAGGCGCTGCAAGTTAACCAATTTGCTAATTTCCATGGGAATATCAACTGTATTCAAGAATTGAATTGATAAGTAGTTAAAAAAAAAAAAACAATACAAATAATCCTAAAAGAAAAGACAGTTTCTTAGATGTCAAATTTATACTATCAACTTTAGAATAAAGCCCTGTTAACTAACAGAACTGGGACTCATCCCTGCTTTATATTAACAAAGGAGGAAATGAAAAGAAAAAGGAGCATACCTATTCGATTATGTGTTAAGTCAAGAGTGCGCACAGATCTATCGAGGTCAAGAATTTCATCCGGAAGCGTCTGTTTTCCGATGAGAAAAGAAGGCACCATGGTTAGCATGCGGTAAAAAGCTCTAGTGTATGCATGCATTCAAAAGGAACAGCAACAGAAAGAAGCAAAACAACAAACATTGACTTTGGGAAGGAAAAAAAAAAAAAAACACCAGATCTCATCCAACTTTTAGATGTCATGAATATTACATCTCATGACATATCTTCATGAAGCAAAATTGGATTAACAAAATACAATCACAAACCTTAATTTACAGAGCGGCACATTTGAAACAATAAAGATACATGATCCAAAGGAAGACGTTCAACACAAATGTACAAATTTCTCACTCGGCGTCATATTTCAATGTAAATGACACGAAAAATAAGAGATGATAAGAGGAAAGCAAGCAGTAAAATACTCAAGAGCGAAGGAACTGCCTCAACAGACACCATTTATCTCAATCACTCAATCACATTCCCATTAACGGGCATCTTACTCTCATTAAGTTGACATTAGAGAACAATTCATTAAACCTATTCTCTTTTATTTACCTGCTAGAAGTACACTGTTTAACCCGTCATCCTGCGAAAATACCATGCGGATGAACCAATAATCTCAAGTCTCAACCACGATATAATACACCCAGTGGCATAATTCATTTAAGAACTTTATACCCTGACAATACCCTTCTTTAAAAAAAAAAAAAAAATCGAATTCAGTTGAGAAGCAGCATAACAGAGGCCACTAGGCTAGCACTGAGATTGATGAACAAAATGACAATCCCCCATGACACATCAAAATACACAATCAAGTTAGTTCCATTCAGTACAACGAGAGAGTGGCAAACTCCAAGCAAGGGGAAAAACCATTACAGACTAGAAAAAGAGAGAGGGAGAGGGAGAGAACGCCGCAGAACCATTAGCGCAACTACAGCAAATTTAAATTGTATTGAAACCGTGGCCAAACAGATAAAACAATTACCTTCAATTTGGAGTCGCGCAAAGCAACAATTCCGGTGGATCGCCACCGCGAAACTCTAGTAGCCTTTGTATCGGCGTTTTTGCTGAAGCAGCATCCCATTTTTGGGACGAAAACCAAAAAAAATATGAAAAATGTAAATTTGAAGAAGCTTTCCAGTGATTAGATTCCCCAAAGTCCAAAAAGACTATATTAAGGCTGTAGCAGAGTCAAATGTCCAGTGATATGGAGGAGGGGCGTTCGTTATGGCGGGGTCCAAAACCGCGTTTTCTTTTTTCCGGTTCCGGTTCCATAGGCTGTCAGAAACAACACGCAAATTACGACTTACGAGACCACATGGTGACGCACAATGGATAAAGATGTTATACTATTTTGGAAATTGTCAAATACATCACGTTAACTGGAATTGCGCATATATTATGTTATGCGGATGATTATTTGACTTTTAAATTTAACAATTTTTAAGAATTAATTACTCTATTTTTTAATAAATAATAAAGATTAAATTTCTTGAAATGGTAAATTTACCAATAAATTAACTAAAATTTTAATAATCACATCTAGATGAAATTATCCATTAATTTTTTTGGCATTATTTATGTATTGATTATAATACGTTGTTTCCTTAGAGTGAGGTCATTTTCTTTGATTTATCAAGGCAGGCCTGGTCAAACAAAATAAAGAGAATATGCTTTCAAGCCCTTCGGTTAACACCATGAAGATTAGAGGACCTTTAATGATGTTTTTAAAGAAGTAATGAAGGTACCGTTTGGTTGACTTGCTAAGTTCTACTGTTAGGATTCTTAGCACTCCTTCCCAGGGATATTTGGTTTTTGATATATTTGAAGGTAGAATTTCACACAAAGTTTGGAAATACCAAATTATAAATAAGAAATCTTTACAAAAATGCATTGTTATGTCCAAATTTAATATTGTCAAAATCTATTAGAGTAATTGCTTTTTGTGTAATTCTTCTGTATTTAAACTCTTATTTTCTTTTAGTACTTATAATGCTCTTGTACCCAATGCACACACCCTTCAAGTTTTTCATTAGCTAGAGAACTTCTCTTAGAAAATGTTTTAAAAATCTGAAAAAAACTTTATTCTTGGCAATAAAGACTGACTATAAATCCCAACATATAGTATAGATATTATAGGGATGAAATCTCAAGGGATCAGATCTTCGTCTTCACTCATCAACTTGTATTCAGAATTTGCCCCTTCATAGGATCCAATCCACCATTCATGCCCTTAGCCAGGGGTCTAATGGCTTCCCAATTGAGTACACAATAACCCAATCTCTCTCAGCTTCCCAGCATTCAATATGCTCCTACCATCAAAAACAAACGCAGGTTTCTGCATATATCAAATATTCTCTGATAATCAAGGGTCTTAAATTCGTCCCACTCGTAAGAACACAGATCCCATGAGCATCCTTCGTTGCCTCATAAGCATCCTTAACAATCCTAACCTGTTTCATAGTATTGGGACTAATCTTTCGCTGGAGGTGAACTGGATGGTCCCACTCAACACTATCC